TCCGGGGCGCGCGCGCGGGGGGTTCCGCGCGGGCTGGCTAGGTCCTGGCCTGTGCTTCCTCCTTGACCGCCCTTGTCCACGGACATCTCAGTTACAAACGGGCTGCCCCGCTGCTACCTGTGGATGAGAATTCGGAGCCCCTAGCGAGCAGGGACCCTGCCCACTGCTCTCTGTTGTGAACGGGGGGTTTTGAAAAATCTCGCATTGACCTTGCTCTCACATCTACTACAAGCGCCTTCGATTTTGAGGGCATTGTGATTTTCCCCCCTTCTGTTTAGTGGGGGGAATCGGATATTTGTACATACTCATCTCTTTCAGGCGTCTGGGGATTTGGCAGACACAGGTTAGAGACACCCACCAGCGAGCTTCATTGTTGTCTTTCTGGGAACTCATCCCCACGAGGTAAGCTCAGATGTGGGCCTGACCTCTTTGGGGGCGTCAGCGGGAGGTAGGTGTGCACTGGAACAGAACAAGTCAGACCATTGTTTGGTATGCAACATTAACAGCTTACAAAAATTCTCAGTTAAATTTAGCTGGATGTTTTTCTGTCTCTGTATGGAATACTGGTGTGCCTGTAATCAGAAAACAAAAATTGAATATAAAAGTAGTTTAAATAACTACTTTGAATGGATTCTTGTGTTGTTTTTGGGGTTTGTTTTTTTTTTTTTTACAGGGCAACCCATACACGTCTGTTCTTCATGGGCCTTCCCTTTCTGACTCCCTGGAGTAGGGGGGCAGGGAGGGAAGGTGTGAGGACTAGTTTTTCCATCTGGAACTCTGGATTCTTTCTAGGGACTTGATTCACAAAATTTGGCTTTGATGCTAGAGGATTTGATTCTTCTTTTTTTAAAAAAATATATTTTATTGATTTTTCACAGAGAGGAAAGGAGAGGGATAGAGAGTTAGAAACATCAATCAGCTGCCTCCTGCACTCCCCCTATTAGAGATGTGCCCACAACCAAGGTACATGCCCTTGGCTGGAATCGAACCTGGGACCTTTCAGTCCACAGGCCAATGCTCTATCCACTGAGCCAAACTGGTTAGGGCGGATTTGATTATTCTTAATACTAGATTATCACCATAGGAAATGTGTTCCTGAGGGTAAATAAGACTTTTATTAATGCTCTAGGATGGGAATATTTGTTAAGAAATCCCCCAAAGTAGGGACAGGCCAGTTACTTTTATTATGCTTTCTCTTAGTCTTACTGAAATCATTTTTATCAATCACAAATCCGCCTAAGATGTAATTGGCTTCTAATTCACCAATTTGGTATTTCCACTTTTCAGTGCAATCCCAAGGCATACCTGCACTCCAGCACTAAAGATGAGCACTTCCCTTTAATTTATACCCGGATGCCCCATGAAGCTTTCCCACCCCTTCCTGGGCTGACAGTGCCCAAACAGTTCTCACAAGGACCCTGGGTTGGAAGCCACCCATCTCCCTGCCACTCTCAGCTTAGGAGGTTAGGACCATGCGGTTCATTCCCCAGTGGAGAGTTCAGTACAAGTTTGGGGAGCTTTACCCAGCGCCATGCTTCTCAGTATGTTTGTGAAACTGAAGAGGAAAATTTTTTATGTTTGCTTTACCCATCAGAGCAGAACCTCTGAGAAAGAAGAAGAAGGTGGATCCTAAAAAAGACCAAGCTGTAAAGGACCGCTTGAAAAAGAGGATCCGAAGACTAGAAAAGGCTAGCCAGGAGCTAATTCCCATTGAAGATTTTATTATCCCTGTGAAGTTCATGGATAAAGTGAGGTAAGAGTTCTCTAGGGTTGAGGTCCCCAGGGCGAAGGAGTTCCATCACCTAAAGCTAGTTCTACTTGCCGTTTATGCCAGTAATGGGACGGGGGTCAGTGGGCTTGGGCTGACTTGGCCCTGGGCCGAGTCCTCTTCTTGATCGTGTCTCATGGGAGTTGAAAAACATTCCTGGGTAGTGCTCTTGAATGGCTGAATGTGGGAAAGAAACTCAGAATAATTGTTTGATAAGCCAGGCCAGATGCTAGAGTTCGTTCCTATCAGCACTGCTCAAAAGTTCATATTGTTGCTCTTTTGCAAGTTGTAGTTGTGACAACTTGGGCCTTGCCCGTCCTGATGGTAGAAAACCCTTAGCCCTTGCTTTGTGAGGCAAAATGCTTGTAGTTGGGATGTGTTGTGTGCAGGGTTGCTGTCTTAGAAAAGCGTATACTATTTATAAAAATGCACCTTGCCATACAAGCGGGACATGGCAGGTGTTTGGCACTCCAGGGCTGGTAAGAGGCTTGACTCCCTGGGATTTTGGTGTTCGTTTTCATTTTACCATTTCACTTTTCTCCAGTCACCTCTCGCCAAAGGCAGTCTCTGCCTGGGGAAGAGGAAGTGCTACTATAATCTCCTCAGAATAACTGTCTCCTATTTCCATGAAGCAAATGGCCCTGGTTCCTAGTGTCAGTTGCAGCTGCCACCACAATCAACATGCCATTCCTGAATTTGTCCCTTTCTTTCCTGAGTTCCATCTGTCTGGCAGGGAGGATGCCTGGGCCATATGCAGTCCCCAACTCTGTGGTCAGTGAGGGCAGTGCTCCCAGCTTCACACTTTGGATTTGTGTTCTCAGACAGCGGCCTGAGGTAGAGCTCTCCTTTGAGGAGGCAGAACGGAGAGCTTTGCTCCTGAAGAAGTGGTCCCTGTACAAGCAGCGAGAGCATGAGATGGAGAGGGAAGCCATCAAATCCATGCTTGAGGCCCAGAAGGAAGCTCTGCAGGAGCTACAACTCACCTCCCAGGAACTCTATGCGGAGGCCATTAAGCGGGACTACAGTTTGTTTCCCTTTGAGAGAGAAGGGCCAGCTTACACACCACCGATCTCCAACTACCAGCCCCCTGAAGGCAGGTACCATGACATCACCAAGGTGTACACACAGGTGGAGTTCAAGAGGTAGAACTGCAGGCAGCTGTCTATCCTTGAACGCACTGCCCTTGAAAGCCAGAATGACCAGAGCTTGCTCAAGCCTGCTTGTCACGGGATTAGGCATGCTGGGAATAAATGTGAGTTTAGTCAAGTGTCTCTTTGTCTTATTCACCTGAGGATGGACAGAGGTGAGATATGCTGCTCTTCCTTTAAAAAATTTTATTTTCACTTTATTTTGATTGTTTACACGATTACAAATGTCCCCATCGCCCCACAAGCCAGGCACTGGGGAAAGGATGATCGAGACCATCTTCCCCCAAGAAACAAAGGTGAAGGATGTTCAGGCTGTATGCTCTGTGTGGTCTGCACAGGTGGGACAGACAGAACACATGAACTTCCTCACATCACCAGCAGGACCAGCTTAGCATTTTAAGATGGGGAGGGAGGCTAAAGAGCCTGCAGCAAGCCAGAGACACACTAATTAACAAAACTGCTGTGTCCCACAGGAGGGTGGGACAAGTGGGGCGGAGCACTCGTTTGAATTGCTGTTACACTGGTTTGGTGACTGTATTCGTGTGCTGGGGCTGCCAGGACTAAATGCCACTAAATGGTTGTGTGGTCATGAACACTTTGTGGGGTCTAAATGCCATTTAGACTGCATGGCTGAAACAGACATTTCTCACAGTTCTGGAAGCTAGAACTCCTAAGATTGAGTTACCAGCAGGGTCGGTTTTTCTCTCCTTGGCCTGTAGATGGCCACCTATTGGCTATGTCCTCACAAGGTCATATTGGATTACGACCTCATTTCAACACAGTCGGAGTACGTGAGATGTGAAATTTAACAATCTCAACAACTAAACTGTTGAATTAATTTTCAGCTCCTATTTGGAATCTAATGTGTAAAATGGCTTTTGACATATTCCACATTTCCTAAAAATTTTGAGGGAAGCAGACCAAAATTCCACGCGTCCTGGGTTTGGCTTTCTTCAGCCAAGGGTCCATGAACCCTTTTTATGCAAGGTGGTATATTCTGTAGCTGTGTGCATTTCTGAAAAACTGGAATCTCACCTCCTGTGAGCCTAGAAGGTGCAGCTTGCTGGTCCAGAGGTATGCCCCACCTCTGTGTGCAGAGGAACTGAGCGAGTGGGCCATAGCCAAGTGTGAGCACCAGTGGCTGGCAATGCATGGTCATCACCCAACCAGGGTGGCACAAAATGACCCCACAAGGTGTTCGTGACCACACAACCATTTCGTTAACTCTACATGTCCACATGGGTCAGGGCTGCTACTCAAAAGTTTACCTGAGAATTCTAGACCTGAGGATGGCCATCTCCTGTGCTAATGTCCTTGGTAGGAGAGCATGAGACAGCCCAACCTGGCTGTTCACAGCAATATGCAATGGTGCTTGGCTTCCCGGAAGCTGTGCAGTGGACAAAACTGTCTCCCAGAGCATGGCAGCAGTGGGGCACTCTGAACGCAGGTGAGGGTTGGGCAAGTAGCACTGGAGACGTCGAGCTCCATGTTCCAAGCCAGGCAGAAGCTCCCAGGTACCTACTGGAATACTTGGGCCAAGCGGAGTCCTTAGGGCTGTGCAATAGCTTCACTTCAAACAGACTGCAGGAAGCCGTGTAGGGGTGCTTGTCACTCGTCTTTGTCCTCCAGAGAGAGATGCCAGTCTGCAGGGGGGCTCTGTCTCGGGGTCCACACTAGGGTGTGCTTTCTTGCAGCCTGGACTCTCCCACGCTCGCTCTCACAGAGGGATCGCTGTGCAAGGGAGACCCCGGTCACTTCACACCTCACACAGCCCTTGTACCTCCCTCCTCCTCAGCAGGCTCCCAAACACAGATGGACAAACAGCGTATGGTACATACTACTCTAAAACTCTACTTCCATCTAATACACCTTGGTGATGGTCCCATATTAGCACACACATATCTAGATCATACTTTCTCCCAAGCTATTGTGAAAAATTACAATTGATCCTTGAATATGGGTTTACAGATGCCAACCTACCACACAATTGAAAATCTGTGTAACTTAAGCTGCCCTCTGCATAAATGGATTCCCAACTATGGGTGAAAATACAGCTGACCTTTGAAGGGCACAGGTCTACTTAAAAATCCATAGTAAGTGGAGGCACACAGTTCAAGTCTATTTTGTTTAAGAGTCAACTACTGTGTAGATCACCATAATTTGAGGAAATTTAAAAAATACCTTCTTGGCCTCAGAGCTTGATGCCCTTGGTTGACCTAATCGGATTTACTTCCTAATGCTGGCTGGAAGGAGATATGAGTCAGAAAGAGTGGCCAGAGGGAGGAAGATCAGGCAAGAGATGCTTGTCCAGGGAGCCCTGGATGGGGAGGGAGTAGGAGTCCAGACCTCAGATGCCACTCTCCTCAAAGTGAACACAGGGCAGTACATCACAACTGTCACGGGGCTCCTTGGCAGGTGTCAGTGGCTCTGCTGGCCTCTTTACACACATTAATTTCACCTTCTCAGTCTTCTTCTTAAGCTCTCTTGTCTCAAATAGATGTTTCTGTTCTTGTTAAAAAGTGATAAATTCAAAATAGAATATGAAAGACTCCCAGACCTCCATCCCTGAGGTGAAGTGAACAGCTTCCCACAGGCCAATGCTTTAGGCCTAATTTTTTTTTAATGTAGTTTATTGATTTTTTTACAGAGAGGAAGGGAGAAGGATAGAGAGTTAGAAACATCGATGAGAGAAACATCGATCAGCTGCCTCCTGCACACCCCCTACTGGGGATGTGCCCACAACCAAGGTACATGCCCTTGACCGGAATCAAACCTGGGACCCTTCAGTCCATAGGCCGATGCTCTATCCACTGAGCCAAACCGGTTTTGGCGAGCATTTTAACTTCTATACCAGGCCATTTGGTTTTCTTTTTTAAAGAATTCCTTCTTTGTGTCCTTGGTCTACTTTTCTATTCTGAAATCCTCCCAATTTTTCTTACTGATTTAAGTGCTCAGACATATATAAAGGTTACTAATCTCTTGTCATATAGGCTGTAAGTTATCTTTTTCATTTTTTGGACTTCACTTACTAGGTATGGAATTGTTAGACATTTCCTTTTATATGGTAGCTTTGTTTCCACATCAGTTTGTCTGCTTCAATAATAACATACATTTAACAACGCTGAAGCAGCCACCAGTCAGTCCCGAAGGCTCCCCTTCCCCATGAGCACTGCGCCCTCACAGCTTCTCTCCATCTCCCCAACCACAACAGCTCCAAGGCACCACTGTAGTCTAGACTGGACTGAAGGTGCTACAGGGCAGGTGCTCTGTTCTCATCATTCCTGTATCCTAAGAGTGCCCAACATGACAAGTATCTGCTGAATGGATGGACAACTAGAACCACCTCCTTACTGGTCTCTGTGCCCCTCCCTAATGTACTCTCCCACTTTGGCAGCCACAATGATCTTTTAAAGGTATAAAATAAGTCATGCTGCCCTAGCTGGTTTGGCTCAGTGGATATAGCGTCGGACTGTGAACTGAAGGGTCCCAGGTTTGATTCCGGTCAAGGGCACATGTCCAGGTTGTGGGCTCCATCCCCAGTTAGGGGTGTGCAGGAGGCAGCTGTTCAATGATTTTCTGTCATCATTGATGTTTCTAACTCTCTCTCCCTCTCCTGTCATTTCTGAAATCAATAAAAATAAAATAAAAATATAAAAAAGTTGAATTTAAATATAAAAAAAATAAAACAAATCATGCTTCCTAGCGCATGTTTAGACTACAATCTAAGCTCCTTTTAAAGGCCCAAGAGATCCCAGGTACCTCTGCAGCCTCATACCCTACCCCTCGCAGCTCACCCTCCTTCTGAACCTTGTTCCTCATGTAAGTAACCCCCTGGGACTGGGTAAAGGCTGCCAAGGCTGGTTCCTGGTCTTTCAGGACTCAGCAATATCACCTCCTTTGCAGGCCAGCTGACAACCCTGACACTGTCTTCCCAAACCACTCTCCACTCCCCTCTTTGTCTTCCAGAGTCTGAAAACCCAGTCGATAGACTAATTTTTGGTATTTCTCGAAAGAAAAAAAGCACAGAAAGAGAAAGGCCCTCAGCAGTGCTCTCCAAAATCCCGGGACCTGGAGCGGGGACAAGGGTGGCCTGGGCACTCAGGCGCCCGGGCGGCTCAGCGCCCCGACCCTACCCACCCCGGCTTCCCGGACGCACCTGAGCCTCCGCGCTCCGGCGCTCCTCCCACTCGAGACAGCTGTCCAGGTCGCGTCGCCATTGCTCGCAAGCCGGCCGCTCTCCGTGGACGTAGTAGTGGTGCAGGAAGTGCCCGGCGCTGCGGCAGAGCTTCCACTCGGCGCGGTAGGCTTCGCAGGGGCGCGGCGGCTGCGGCGAGAGGGGCGCCTGAGCCGGTCGGAGCTCCAACCCGGATCCTCCCGGGAGAGACCTCGCTTAAGGCGATCACACGGTCTGACGAGGTCCCCCCAGGTCCCTGGCGTCCACCGCACTTACCTGCCAGCCGCCGCCGTCGGCCATGTTACGGCGAGCACCTAACCCGCCTTCCTCAGCCCGCTAGCCAATGACCAACGAAGATAGACTAGGCCAGCTCCCCGCGAGACACCGAGGAACTCAGAGATCTGACGATTTAAATCCTCGCCACCTCCTTGAGACACGCCCATAAACAGGACGTTCGGGTGCGGCAGCCAATAGCAGCCGTGAGGGGCGGGTCGCAGGCAGGAGGGGTGGAGCCCAGAGGGCTGGGGGCGTGCCCGGCGGGTAAGAAAGCTCCGCCCGGTGTTGGGTGGGCATCCCGGTCTGCACTGCCGCCAGGTTAAGTTGGCTGTTTGTGAAACCCCGAGGGTCAGGCCAGTTCTTTTCAGCGACTATTATTTCACAAATCTCAAAGGTCGGGCTTACTGTCGTTAGCACACACTGTGCAGCTGCCGAGTCTACTGCTGCAGTGACCTCTCGAGGACGGAGATGAACTCACAAAATAACGGGGGTTGCTGGGCATAACGTGTGGAGGGGTAGGGTATCTACGGTGGGGGACAACCTCCCGAGGGAACTCAGGCTGGAAGTGGAGGCGAGAAGGGCATTCTGAGCACAGAGGCGGGGTGGTCCGAGGCATGGAGGCTGCAAGTGACCTGGCTACAAGTCCAGGGCCTGATTAGGAGTGAAAGCTTTCCTGAGACAGAAAGCCCTGCAGTACCAATGCAATGGTTCCCCAGCCTATGCAAACCTGATCATATGCAGGGGAGCCCCTTACAAGCGGCTGCTGGGCCCCTTCTATGATTGAGACTGGGTCAGAGGCCCTTCAGGTGGTTCAGAAAGCTGCAATTTTACAGGAGTCCTGCCAGATTGGCTCACAGACCCAGCTTGGAGAAGACACTGTGTGACAATAAGGTTGCGGACCAGGGTACAGCAGTAATAACCAGTGCTTTTGCTCCAGGTTATCCCACTGTATCACCAGGAGACCCACAATTGGGTCCAACCTTGGCCCAGGCAGGGGAGTGTGCCTCCAGCGATTTCATTACATGTATAGTAGGTGATACCTAGGGAAGACAAAAACCCTGGGCCATCTTCTTTATCATGCATAAAATGACAATGTCAGGCAATGTAATCTTGCCAATGAAGATTGCCTACCCACCAAGGGCTTCTACCTCTGTAGTGAAACTGAGACTCCTTAGGTCAGGGGTGGGGAACATCTGGCCCACGGGCCATGTAAGACCCACAAATCATTTGGTCTGGCCCTGCCAAAGCCTTAGGGGTGAGTTAATTAAATGTTTGACCAAACAGAGCAGGCTAATTTTTAAGTTGGTAATTTTGTATGGCCCACAAATGTTATAGCCAATGGCCCTTGGCAGGGAAAAGGTTCCCCACCCCTGCCTTAAGTGGAGCCAGGGAGGTCACAGTGGTACTTTGTGCCTTTTGAAACCACATCCATCACCATGATGGATGATCAGCCCTGGTCATCATGACAATCTTCAGTGCTCATTCTCTGAGGATACATGGGTGGACCCTGGGCTGTTGTCCTGGTGTGGTGCAACCTTTCCTCTTCTGCGTGTTGGGAGGAGCCTTCTTCAGAGGATCCTTTGCCTACAAGCAGGAGGAGACCTGGTACAAGGGGAGATCTGGGCCTGACCACCCTCACCCCAGGGGTCAGATAGCCTCGTTTCTCTATACATTGTCCAGGAGCCACTCCCCTGTCCCCAAGTTCTTTTCTAACAGCACTATGGAATGAGGGGTACCTGCAAGCAAGCCTTCCTCCAACTCCTGATCAGTGGCCCAAGCACCAATTCCTGTTGACATCTAATCAAACATTCAGAGGAAATCCAGGTTTTAGTCTTTCCCTGTTTTTATTTGAAAATTTAATTTGGAATTACTCTCAAGGAACAAAAGAGATGAGAATAATTGGGTTAACATGTCAAAAGATCTCACTTTATAGAAAGTGAGGATCTGAGACCAATACAAAATATGCAGGCCAGCAGAACATTGGATAATACATTAAACTGAGAGTGGGAGATGGGGTAGGAGAGAGAGGACCATCTTTAGCGTTTATTTATTCTAATATTCACATTTGTGTTTCACCATGAAGTTTTGTTGTTCTCTCCCTCCCCCTAATAGAATAGATTCATGGAGCCAGTTATTTTGAAATGAAAACTGAAAGTATAAATGTTTTCAGATCAGGTTTTCCTTCTGAGGAATGGTTCTTTTGTTAAAAAAAGTAAAAAAAAGTAAAATAAAAACAGAAAAACCCATCTTCAAATACTTAATTGTAGCCAGAGTAATGGAATAACTATTTATAGAGCACAGATCTATTTAAACCACTTTTCTTTAGGCCAAAGGCAACATCTAAGCTACAGATCCACAAAAAGAAAGGATAAATAAAATAAAAAGAACATCAAAGTTAGAGCAATTCAACCCCTTCCTTTGATTTTTATCAGGAACTGGGGAACTCAGCTCCTGCTGGGTCAGTGGGAGTGCTCCCAAGGGCTGAAAGCAAAAGTGGGGAGGCCGCCGCCCATGGGACCCAATTCAAGTACTACCACGAAGTCCTGCATCCCACTTCCTTACTAAACTAGACAATTCTCAGGTAGCTCTAAACAAACCTAAAGTGACAGAGCATCCTTTGCAATAGTTTCATTCCTGTCAGAGCCAGTAACTAAAAGCCATTATGTTGCAATTGAGTATTTTATTTCCCAATCGGCTAACTTATGGCTTTCTTCCCTTTTTACGCAATGACTGTCCTTCTCCAGAGAAAGCGACGAATCTGCCTCCAGCTTCATCCTGTGTGAAGATAAAATACTATTTTCAGAAATTTCTTGGAGGTTTATAGAAAATGCTTTATTTTGCTGACTCATGTACCATCCACCCATTTTCCTTATGCTCCATTATTGATAATAAGAAATGTTTTTGAAATATAAATACAAATCATAATCAACTGAATTGAACACATGACCACACAATCACAACTATGTGTCTATCACTGCCTTTATTCTAAGGGTGAACGTATATCCTTTTGCAGAAGCATCACATTTTCTATATATAAAGTATAAAATACACCCCAAAACAAAAGTCACCTGGAATTCCACCACCCCAAAATAATACTTTTAGTCACTTTTCTGTATGTGCTTATATAAACTATTTCAAACGTAATTCCCAAGTCTCAAGACAATGGATTTCTTACCTAGTACATTCTAAAACCTACAGAGAATTTCATCACGTGGGAGAGGCAGTCTCTACCACTGGATATTACTTCTAGGTTTGCAGTATTTTAAATTGCTGTGGTGACCAGCTTAATATGTTTGCACACAGCCTGATATTTCTTAGAAGTGGAATTCCTTAGTAAGCTAGTCTCCCACCAGCAGAAAGAGGGCTTGTTTTTTCTGAACCCTCAAAAACAGGTATCTTTCATGCATTCCTTTTGTTAGTCAGCCAGTGGTGTTAGCTATAGAAGATGAAGGTTCTGAGCTCCCGAACGCACACCTCTACACCCAGCCCCACACGTTCCACACAGCCTCAATAGGCCAACCAGGCCACCAGAGGGAGGAGGGCCCCAGGAATGAAGAAAAATATGACAGAAATACCCTGATTCAAAATGGAAAGAATTCCCCCTCATATCACTAAAAAATAAAACTCACCTCTTCAACCTTTTTGATCAGTGGACGTGAATTTCTGATGAAAGTGATCTTACCAAGTTTAAATTCATAATTGGGAATTCCTCTGTAAAGATGGAAGAGGAGAAATGTTAGCTCCAGAAGAAAAAGACTCAAATTCTCTTTTGACAAACAAGAGGAAGGCAAGCCAAAGAGAGGAAGTGTGTCCTCTTGGTGATTCTCATTCTGAGGTATGCAGCTGTCAACCACCCCGGCCTTGGGCCAGCCGTCTGGTGCTCCCCAGCATCCCTACAGGAGAGAATCAGAAGGCAAATGGGTAGGGGCCTTCAGACTTGGGACCTAGCCTGCAGTGAAGGGTCACCTAGGGGCTTGGGAGGTCCTCCTCAAATCCATCCTCTAGCCTCACAGATCAACCTTGAAGGGGTACACTTGTACCAAACTCAGAGAGTGGGTAAAAAATCCATTATTAGCATTATCCTTCTGCTCCAACATATAGTAGAGAGGTGACATATGGCAGGTAACACATCTCATCCCTGTCACCACTGTGACAGCCACCAGAGCAGGGAATCTGCTCCGAGTCCCTGGACCAAACAGAAACACATCTGTGAGGCAGCTCCTGCCTCCTGTTTGAAGGAAGTTGAGACACTGTGACTTGATGAATAAAACAGGTTAGATAGGAACTAGAAAGGTTTTAAGTAGGAGAGAGATCTGAAGAGGGGCCAGTTGGAGGCGAGTGGAGGCTGTACTGCAGTGGTCCAGGATTGGAGGAAAGATACTGATACACTTCCCCTGGGAAACAGCAACTCTTTGTCATGTTCCAGTCCCCCAAGGAGAGCTGGTGGGGGTGGGGGTGGGAATTCATCCACTCTGCTAGATTCTTTGAGCCGGGCTTTATTTCCAGAGCTGGAGTGAGGCTGCCCACCCCAGAGGTCTGGCACAGACCCTCCCTAGATGATGATGAAGCATCAGGCTGGAGCAGGCAGGGCAGACCCACCTTTTGATGTCTCCAGGCTTGATTGGGGAGGGGCTGGGCTCTACACCTTTCTTCTTCCCGTCCAGTCTATTCCCGGAGCCGGAGAAGGCCTACACAGGCAAGCAGGAGGGTGAGCACATGTATGTGCTTTGCTGAGACTGCTGCAGGGATATCTTCTGGGGGGCGCCACCGAGGCCCCCTCAGGAATGAAGCCCTCCCTCCCCAGCTGCTGAAGTGTGGGCAGCTGAGAACTCTGTCTCAGGACTGCAGTGAGATGAAAGGAGTCTTCTGGCCCAAGAGCAACCACCGCCAGGGGTAGCCAGTAGCCAGTAGCCAATGACAGGTGAAAAGGTCTGGCCTTGGCTCTGGGGGACCGGTCTGGGGCCCTGTGGAGGGACTAAGCCCTCTGTTGCAACTGCCGCAGGGCTCAGCTTTTGGTCCTCCACTGCCTCCCAGCGCCCTGATACTAGTCATCCCTTCTTCCCCAGGGAGTCGGGCTGGCAGCAGTGCTGAAGGGTCATGTTGCAATTTATTTTTAAACAGTGTAGGCCAAGAAAAGAAGAACATATTCTT